TGCTTTGAAGTATATTGGCTTAAATAGCCAGCTTCTATAGTTAGACCCCACTAGTGTGGCCAAGTTTGGTTCATTAACCATTAGCTGGTTTATGCTAATGGGGGATCCCACTTTTGTGTTCGTTTTTAGGTATTGGATCATGGAGGAAATCGGTCTTTCTCCGAATCTTCATGAACAAGGGGAAGTAGATGTTCCAGACTTTGCACCAATCACTCCCATCGATCCGCTTCGGCTTAATGACGAGGATCTGTACCAAAAGCTTAAAGTGCGTTAACCCATGTTATAACTTAACTCTCATAGTCCCTCAAGAAGCAGTTGGAGTTCATCCAAGTCCAAGAAGATTACATCAAAGATGAACAAAAGAATCTTAAGAAGGAGTATATGCACGCTCAAGAAGAAGTTAAACGCATTAAAAGCGTCCCATTGGTGATCGGTCAATTCTTAGAGGCTGTGGACCAGAGTACGGGCATTGTTGGCTCCACAACAGGTTCCAACTATTATGTCCGCATTCTCTCTACTATTGATCGTGAACTCCTCAAACCAAGTGCTAGTGTTGCTCTTCACAAACACAGCAATGCTCTGGTGGACGTCCTTCCTCCTGAGGCTGACAGCAGTATCACAATGCTCCAGGCAGGTGTGTCATTTTATTGCTTCTGAAAAGCTTACGCTTCCTTCTAGCTACTTCTAGCACCAAAAATATCACCACACAGTTTATGCGTCTTTTGAGCCAATAACATGTCTTGTGATGTGTTCTTGATATTTTAAACTTCCATCTTCTGTAGACGAAAAACCAGATGTCTCTTATGCTGATATTGGTGGAATGGATCTACAGAAACAAGAGGTTCGTGAGGCAGTGGAGTTGCCGTTGACGCATTTCGACCTCTACAAACAGATTGGTATTGACCCACCCCGTGGTGTTCTAATGTTCGGTCCTCCTGGGTGCGGGAAAACTATGCTTGCCAAGGCTGTTGCTCATCATACCACCGCCGCATTCATCCGTGTTGTTGGGTCGGAATTTGTGCAAAAGTACCTCGGCGAGGGTCCTCGTATGGTACGCGATGTTTTTCGGTTGGCAAAGGAGAACGCGCCTGCTATTATATTTATTGATGAAATTGACGCGATTGCTACGAAACGATTTGATGCTCAGACTGGAGGTGGGTTTTACAAGGTTTGTCGCCTGTATTCAGCCGCATGTCGTAGAATTTATTGTCCCTTTTATTCATTCTAATTTTTTTATTCTGCGTCGCTCGCGAGGCTCAGTAAAATGTTGAAAGGTAATATAGGTTTGCAGTCCAACGAAATCGTTATCTATATGCCTTTCCAATGTCACAGCAGGATAAGATTGGGCTGGTTAGACTTGGGTAAACTTAATGTCTCTTATATTCTGGTTTAGCCGATAGAGAAGTTCAGCGAATACTTTTGGAGCTTCTTAACCAAATGGACGGATTTGATCAGGCCGTGAATGTTAAGGTGAGCTGCCATTTTAATCAGCATTCCAATGCTTTCCAAATAAACCCTTGAAAAGCTTTCGTACAGACAACTACCCTACAAAATCATCTCCAACCCTGCATTAATCTCCTCTATAAATTAACTGAAGAAGTTGGGAGATAAAACTGACATAGATTCTACGGCACTTCTTGTCTTTGATGGAGCCCAATTACGAAACGACAATCTTTTTCGCTTAGGTCATAATGGCCACGAATCGAGCCGATACTCTGGACCCAGCCCTTCTCCGCCCTGGCCGCCTGGACCGAAAGATTGAATTCCCTCTCCCGGATCGTCGTCAGAAACGCCTAATTTTCTCAACCATCACCAGTAAAATGAACCTCAGTGAGGAAGTTGATCTTGAGGATTATGTAGCTCGTCCAGACAAAATATCCGGTGCTGACATCAATGCAATTTGCCAAGAGGTGCGCTACTTGTGTTATTTTTTTGTATTTTGTTGATTGAATGTTAATAAATTGCTACTTAATGCTTTTTCAGTGAACATATTAATCCCCTTTCTCTTTTTCAGGCTGGTATGCAAGCCGTGCGTGAGAACCGATATGTTGTTCTGGCCAAGGATTTTGAGAAAGGTTACAAAAATAATATCAAAAAGGGCAACCAAGAACTTGATTTCTATAAGTGATTTGTTTCCCTGCTTTGTGTATGCGCTCATTCTCCCACAGGTAAAATAACATTCTGAATATCCTAAAACCCGCCTTGTCTTTAATTGCATGCTTTGGGCCAAAACCACTGGACGCTACTTATTTCATGGTGTAAGGGAAGAAATACATCCATTTAAGCTATTCAGCTAGATCTTTTTTATTACAGTACATAGCCTGTTCTTTATGGTATCAAGGAAGCACTAGAGAAGTAACCGGACTTGCCGTTTTCGATGCTGGATTTGCTGGCATAGACGTAAATGGAGTGATAAAATCACTGTCTGGGCCAGGTGTTTCGTGTGCTTGTGGCCATTTGTTAAGCACGATTGCCGAAAAATGCGATGATGAAGCACTCACCCGGGATGCTGACCACGATATTTAACGCGCCGCGCCCCCACTGGGCGAGGAATCTAAGTGCTGTAGACCAGAGGCGTGACTTCATATTCTTCACATTCATTGCGCCTGTCAGGAAAGTTACCGAAACAGAAATTCCTATGTCAACCGTCCGCTTTAAATGGTATTTTCACGCATCGGAGTATGAACATTACATAGTACTTGCAGTGCAACAAAATAGTACAAATTTAAGTCCCCGACAAGACGTGGAAGAACCTATTGACATTCAGATCCTCCTTTCCCCGCCAAGGGACTTCCATGGATAAAATAAACTGGAAACGATCGACTGAATCCCCTTAATTACTCATGCTTAACTCACATCAGAACCAACTCAGAAGCAAAATTATAACGCCTTTCCAGGGTCGAATGTCCAAAATTTGTTGGTTAGCCCCTACGATAGGTATGAAGCACTTAGCTGACTAAGCAAGATAGTGTAATGATAGTATAACTATTATGCACGGCTGAGTCTGAGAATGTGAAAAGCAAACATCCAAGACGAATTATAATGTAAGCACTAGGATATTGTCCACACAAAGTGGTGAGAAAAGAGAACTGTACAAAACAAAACTCTAGGATTATACTGGGGAGCGATGGTTGCGGTGATGAAAGACGACCCTTCGTTGGCAAATACGCTGACGATGCATGACCATAAAAAATAGGGTATGTCTCATAGATGCCCGATCTTAACACCCGTTCCACTTTGACGGCCGGACTTATAAACAGTGTCTGATTGAGTCTAGAGGTTGAGAAAGAAGAGGGATTAGATGCACTGCGGAATTAAAGCCAATGCCAAGAGCAGCTGTTATGAGTGTTAGACCCTACGAGGCGACGGTAACTCACAGTGTGAGCTCGTCCATTCCTCAGCGGAGGCAGACTTTTTTCGCTGTTGGGCCAGACTGATGTATGAACACCGCCATTGAATAAGTTGGAGTGGCAGTTGACCTGCTCTTCTTCCTCGGTGAATGTAAACTGATCAACGAAGTTGGATCGTTGGACCGTCGACTGATGGTGCATGGAGGGGGCGCTGTTTGCAAATTGTCGGTTCAAAGTCGGACCGGGTCCGCTAGTGGGTGCCATTCGAGAGGCATTTGCTCGGGTTATGGTTGAATCATAAACCTAAAACGGGGAGAACTTTCTCATGCAAAAGGAACATGGAGAGAGATTTCCAAGAAACTCCGGCGTAAGGTTCAGGTAGAGAGTTCGCCAACGAATTGGGAAGCCTAAATAAAAAGTTGATATCCAACAGTCTAATGCGTGGACAATAAATGAACGATTAATCAGAGGATAAGAGATATGAACCAAGAATTTGGACGTGCATAAAGTGCCACCAAGTATTACAAAGAAAGAAGTGGAAAAAGGGAAAGAAAGCCATTGACAAGCAATCAAACTTGCATACTAAGAGCTACCTGTCCTTGAAGAC